GCTTGAAATGATCTGACCATGGGACGAAGTGACATTAAAATTAAAAAATTACAAAAAAATAGTTAAATATTATTGCCTTTACACTCATGAAAGTTGAGATTTTTACATGGATTTTATTATTCACATTTGTAGCTTTTGGAGCTCAGAAAACAGGAACACAGTTTGGCGCCAGTTCAGGTTGGTTTTGGACAGTGAGGATTTATCATTTTTTTTTGCTAATTTTCTTGTCATTTTCATCTCATCGTCTTAAAAATCACAATCATGTATTTAACTAGGTATTGGCCTTCTTATTCTTCTTCCTCCACCTCTCTACCATCATCATCATCATCATCATCATCGATCATCACTATTACCATTGTTGTTATAATCATCATTGTTATCACAATCATCATTGTCCACCTTATCATTACTGTCATTGCCATTATTGTCATCATTGCATGGTTTATTATAGTTATCATTTTCCTTACTGTATCATTATTACAAGCATCTTGAGCACCATTACTATTTCTAGACATTGTGATAAAAGCAATTTTATTCAGGTTAAAACTTGTAAATCTGTGTTGTTGCCCTGCATCATCAGATTTATTCTCTTTGTTCAGCGTATGAAAATTGAATAGTTAAGTGAAGATTAATTAAATTGTGACACAATTTTTCCAGGTCTGGGCACAAACTTGTTTGGAAATAAACAAACAGCTTTTGGTAGTACATTTGGAAATCAACCTCAGAGTTCAGGTACCACTGGCTTGTTTGGAAGTAGTACAGCAACAAATACAGGAGGTAGTCTATTTGGGGGAACAACAACTGGAAGCATCTTTGGACAACAGCCAACCACACAATGTAAGTGCCAGAATACATCATTATTATTATTAATTTATTTGGAAAAATTTGAGGAATTATGTGGGTGTTGTGAATGATAGTTTTGATGATAATGGAAATCAAAGAGAGCAAAATAACTTTTCTTTCGTGTCTAATTAAGTAGCTTGATACTGCTCAGATATTTTCGCTTGTAGTGTCACAGAGAGGTTACGCAAGGGTTTTGTTTGTAATGGTTCTTTATAGTGTTGTTTGTGACTCTTTGCAAGGCAGATACAATCAATCAGTCTGACAGTCAGTCAGTCCATTAAACAGTCAATAATATTGATTAAAGTAGAAGCTGATGTGCATGTTTTGCATTGCAAGCCAGAGACATCCTTAGTCAAATTCTTTTCACTCTGATGTTTGTCTGATAACTGTAGAAAACAAACCATCCATTTTTGAAAGAAAAGAAAAAAATGTATGTTAATGTTATTGCTTTTTCCAAACAGCCTCATTTGGTGGCTTTGGATCAGGTGGTACCGGCCTGTTTGGCAACCAAGCAAAAAGTACCTCAGGCACAAGTGTCTTCCAGGCTCCAGGGCAGACTTCCACTTTTGGCAGTGGAACATCAACAGGATTTGGAGCAGCTAGTAAGTTTGAGCATGTTTCACTTTGATCACATGCATATACAGGGTTCTCATTAAGTTTTAAAGTAGACAGCTAATGTGTAATGTATAAGATGTAAAAGTACTAGGCAGGTTAGTAATTAAGTGCTGTCGGCAATTTGAGGCTTTCACTCTCTTACTTTGCCCTTGATCCCCAAAAGGTATATGGCTCACACCTCCAAGTAGCCAGCTTTTTTAGCCGGTTGCCCGCAATTAATGAGAACCCTGATATACAGTGTACGTATTGTTTTTAATGAACTGAATTGTGTTTACCAGAATTAATCATAACTATAACAAAATTCTCAAATCTGGTTGGCTATCAATAATTGATAGCCAATCAGATTTGAGAATTTTGAGAATTTATTGAGAATTTATTGTACTGATTTCAGCACTAATAGGACAGTGTAACAGGACAGTATATGTCATGCCTAAGTAATTGGACAGTACGTGCCTTTTTTTTTTCACTGCTAGCAAAAAACTCTCGGAATTTCTTGTGCTTTGATTTAAAAAAGCCTAAAAAATCACAAATTCTGCTGTAGTTATGATTTATTGGTAACAGATTTTCGTGTCGTTCAATTCTGTAATCGTGCGCATGATTAAGCAAATTGGACTCCCGCCATGCTGTTGTGCGATTTTGTTTATCACTTGTATGATTACAGACCGAATTGAACTCTGCTCATTCCTATTACCATTACTTAACTTGATAAAACAAGAAAACAGTAGGATTGTTTAACCCTTGAAGCCAAGAGTGGTCAGTATGAAATTTCTCCTCAACAATTCAACTCTGTATTTCTTTGTTTTTTATAGCAGGTGCTAGTTTATTTGGAAGTACAGCTAACAAAAGCACAGGTCTGTTTGGTGCCAGTCAACAGACAGGTACCTCACTCTTTGGACAGAGTGGCATTCAAGGTAATAACATTTGCAGCATGCAAAGAAAGTCGTGTCCGATAGCCCAGGCCTAGTGGATTTTGCTATCGGGCTAGTGATTTTTGCTCTTAACTTGCCCAACGGGCAAGTGCTGTTTTTTTGGGGAAATTCAAATTAGTCAAGGATTGCAATCAATCCCACTAATCAAAAAGGGTTTTGGGGCTAGTTGAAATGACTTGTGGGCTAGTACATGCTAGCTACAGCTTGCCCGAATGGCAGGCTGTAAAACTGATTTTCTTTGCATTCTGATTTGGCAAGTCAAATGATTATTTGTTTGACAGAGTAGCATTCAAGGTAATAACAAATGGCAAGTCAGATGATTATTCATTTCATATACATCAATCACATTCATTTCTTTCACGGGAACGTATGAACACATAATTGACCAGCTCCCAACATCATTGGCTTCATAGCTCAGTTGGTTAGAGCACTGCTATTGCACTGGTATCGCAAGGTCATGGGTTCAAACCTCGTCGAAGTCCTTAATTCTAACGCAATTGCTTAATTGCATTCAAAACTGCGACGATCATTCTTCATTTGATTTCATTTCCACAGATCTTATGTGATTTATTTAATACATGTCTATCACAAAATGATTATTGTTAATTTGAGCTTTTTGAAGTTTTAGTTTTGCACACATCATTAGCACCTAAAGTGAAATTTGCAATGTTATGGAAAAACTCTAGCTTTTAACTCTGTGGAAATATTCTGTGCTGTTACCATTCAAATGAAACCTCCAGTACTATTTATTTTGAGGGATTTTACAAAAACAAATTTGATTTTTTTGGGTGAATTTTTTCTTTGGCTGCCATAACGAGTGAAAAAGCTAAGGCTTCAGGTCTTACTGCTCTTACATCCATGTAGCAGTTAAAATACCAGACTCATAGCTTGTAACAGTAATTCCCAACTGAGCCCTTTGCTTGTGTGGCTGCCACTGAGCTGATATGTGTCATTTGTTTTTTCAGGACTAGGATCTACCAGTGCAACCCCTGGAACACCTGTCAAGTTTACTGTGAGCCTTTATTTTAATTAAAATAATTTTAATTTAATATGTTATTGTTTGTTTTCATTTCACATTAGAAGGAATTTCAGTGCATAATCTACACATGTAG